TAAGGTTAATGTCATAATAATTATCTTACTTTGCCCGAAATTCAGAAACTTCATCCATTCCAGGAGCAGTCATGAAACGCAAAAGACCTTCTTCTTTGTGATTTTGGATAGTAATTTCTTCTAATAAAAAGAATCAATACGCACGATGCTATCTATAAATTCAAATTATTTAGAGTTATATCAAATTAAAGGGTATACCTCCAGTTCTCGTAACACACCAATCGGTTAAAACACAGACGTCAAATGGACCATCATATCCTATGCATTGTTCCTTTATGTCAGATGCTAATGAGCCATGTGCGATACATTTCAATGTATTATCCCTTCAAATTACATAATAGAGTTATTGTAAAACTAAATTATCATAACAATAAGCAATAGAAAATATAAAGAATGCGCGTACTCATTGTCTTTAAGACGAAAAACAAAGTGTCATGACAATTTTTCCATCTGTCTGCACAACTGGTATGAGATCTCTTACAATGTCAAGTACACCAATCAAATCTGAATAAACACACATATCAGTAAAACTACAGCGAATTTTTCAAAAAAAAAACAAAAAAAACAAATAAACAATATATGATTATACTAACCAATAGGATATTCATGAGCAAAAGGATTATTGATAATCTGTTAAAATTGTACGAAACTGAGGAATGCCTTATTAGATATTGGTATTATACGTGAAACCTTTGTATCGTCAGTCAGAGTAATCATAAAATCGTGTCTAGTTATCTTATCGCAATCATTACTGAGCAATCGGTTGAGACTAAACCGAGATAACATAATCCAGTGACCTTCATGGCAAACTCGTTCGAAATACCCGAACATCTGATTGTGAACAATTGCCTGAATTCGGCATCCCTACAACATAAGAAAAAATATAGAAATTATAGAAACAATAAAGTAATATACAGAATCAGAGATTTAATACTAAAGAGTTTAGTTTATAATAAAACTAACGTTCTCATCGGTCATAATGAAGCCAAGACCTGGTAATCCCTGTGGATAGTTCACGCTTCACTTTTTCAAAACTTTAACCACAATCCTCCAGTCATCTCTCCATCCATTCATCTCATGAACCAAATCATAACTACCCATGTTTGTCAGATGTTTAGAGAGAATAAAATATCAGAAAGTAGTTATGTTCTGTTGCATCGAGTCTTTATCAGATCATCTATATATACACGTAATGTTTTTAAAAATAATATTACGCATAATGATGACGATTCATTAGAAACCGTTTACTTAAACCGAGTCTTTTAAAACGATTTCCATTATCTGTTATATATATATATATATACATACATATATATTAAATATAAATACAATATGATCACAACCACTAAAAATAAATTATCTATAACTTTATAATTTTTTAAAAATATAACAAAACATAATCTATATATGTATATCTTCTTTCTATATGATTTAAAAATTTGTTTTAATTCAAAGACAAAACATAATATATTAAATACAAATACAATATGATCACAACCACTAAAAAACAAATTATCTACAACTTTATATTTTTTTAAAAATATAACAAAACACAATCTATATATGTATATCTTCTTTCTATATGATTTAAAAATTTGTTTTAATTCAAAGACAAAACATATGTGTATATTAATGTTTTCATACCAATAAATCATTGTCAAATTAAGGAATTCATGATTGTATTATTATTTTTTATTATTATTTTGATATCCGAATATAATTTGGTTATTAAGGTATCTAAAAATGCAGATATACTGGACCCATTAATCAATCATGACTTAATATTATTGATATAGTTATACCAGATATTATTAAGAAAATATATGAGAAAATATGTATATACCTTGGCCATTTGTCATCTTCCAGAACCTTAACACCCAGACAACCGATTCACATGTGTTTCTCAGATATACATCATGGAGATTTATTGCTAGAGAACCACGGGCATAACATGCTAACCGACCTTCTCTTCTGCCACAAGAAAAAATAATACGAAAAATAAAATATTTGGTTAAGACTTTATATGTTAACAGTCTTTTACATATAAATCAATGGACATGATTCATAATACCGTGCATCTACTATCTCAAATCGGAGATAAGCGAGATTCTCTTCATAAGCATCATTACTTGCATTGCAGAGTGGACCCATATTCACAATAGTTCCCATAATGTCTGATAATAAACGAAATAATAAATTGAATTTAAATCTATTATAAAACTTAACATATATGTTTAGAAATTATCATGCACACCGATAAACTTGATTAATTCTTATAAAAAGTTAAAGATGAAATTCTTACCAATCAGATAGTCAAAAGGAATGGCTCGATCCACAATATCATAAAATCGGAAGCAATGGAGATACAAATTGTACGACCTCGTTCGAATAGGGGTGATAATAGTGACAGAAGTTAACTGCAAACGATGTTTATTGATCGTTGTAAGCATTGATCCAGTTGCTTCTTTAACATGAAAGTTGAAAATCCGAATCTACTGTCCCTATTTGATTTCTTTCCAGTGAGTGGGAAACTTGTTTGGCATAATGGTTGCAGCGATCCGTGTACCCTAGAAAAATAACACAGCCAAAAATAATCAGTGAATAATAAATAGAAAACATAAAAGAATTACTTCAAAAAAAGACACATACTTTGATATCAGACAAAACCATCTCGATAGTATTTCCGAAGAATGTTGAATGCTTCCAGAGCCTGACCACCTTGACAGATATTAACCACCCTGTTTTGTAAGTATCCAAACATGCAACATCGACAACATCAGACATTTTAGAAACTTTTTTTTCTTTTTTTTTGATCGAGAACTCTGAATGAGTTCTATAAAGAGGAAAACTAAAAGTGACGAAGTATGAGAAAGTGTGTTAAATATGAAAATGACAGACTATGCAGTTGAATAGACAGTTATTCTTTCTTATAAATTTATTTTCGTTTGAATTATTTTAAAAGAAAAAATTTGAACAGTTACCATTTAAAGCCCCTTATTGTCAAAACCAATAACAATCCCACTAATTTATATCAAGACACTTCCATATCGATATTGACCGATTTGTTCGTTTCACGTACTAGAGATAATATATTCCATGTTTTAAGTTTCACCAAAGATACACGCAACCTCAATAAGTAATATACTATTTTACTAAATATAAAACTTTGCTAAATTGCAACACTTTCCATAAAATAATATGATCTCTCTCTATAGCTTATGTTATTTTGACAATTTTATGTTTCAATATTTTAGGAAATGATATATTCATACAACATCATAACAAAAATGACATTTATGTAGACTTATATGTTATAACTTTATGTATCTACTTGGGGAATTTTCCTTAAAATTATATGAACCAGGAAACCTGGAAAGTCAAACGGTTAGGTGCAAACATAAAGTCGCATAATCTTCCCCATAAAGAAATTGAAAAATGAGAAAATTGATTATTATTGCATACCTTATAAATACTGACTTGAAGGTTTCTTTTCAAAAAACTTTAAAATATTTTATAAGTAACCTTATCGTTTGTGAGAGTATCATAAGAACATGGCGAACACAAACGAAAAAAAAATTCAATGAAAATGGCTTGTTGATCATCAATCCCCCACCATTGGTAATGAGATTCGGTGTCGTGGAACCTAAGTCACCACCTTCACCAACAGATTCCGAGATAGAGCAAGAAGAATTATGGGAACAATTTCATTTACTCACCGCATCAAATCAGAAAGCCAAACAGAAGACTAAAATATATCATTTTCACTAAAGTTTATTTTAATCATGTCTTACACAATGAATTGTAAAATCTGTATAATCTACTTATGGAGGATGACAAAGGCAACACATCTAATGAGACACCCCAAGCAAGTTGCACAAAACGAAAACACGATCTGATTCTAGATCTGAAGATAGGGTTGAAGTGCATGCGTTGCGGTTTTGTGGAGACAGAAATTCGACACATGGATACCGCCGAATGGGTAAGTAATCAGAAATATATTTAGATTAATAATAAAAAGTTGTCTAAAATCTATGTTATTGAGTCATTATATTTTGTTATTGATTGCCCATTGAACTCTATGTTTTAGAAACAATTCATGTTTAAGTATAATATTGAGTTAGTTTAAAGCTATATAATTTTTCAAAAATTTAAATTGGATTGTTTGTGTCTGTGCTTAAAGGGAGAGGAGAAGGAACGTAAAAAGAGGAGGTCTGGAGTTTAATCAAGAACCATATCAGTTTCAAATCAATTTCATGTTTTTTTTTTCCTGTTTGCAATGACCACTTTAAAGACAGTACGTACTTGGTTTTCTAAAAACTATTAAGTTTATTTCGATGACATGATAATTTGGTTTTGAAACATTCTCGATATTTATAACTACGTGACAATGTTCATCATATGAAATGTCAATAGATGCCCAATAATATGCTACAATTTAGGTTTCGTTAAAATATATTATCGAATTGAGTTTGTCATTGGAATATCCAACTACAGTTAAACGTCAGAGATCAAACCATTAATAAAAGAAAACATTAAGAAACCTGATTAATTGTACATGGTGGAGTAATATATATATATATATATATATATGAAAAAAACGAATCAGATTGATAAAACCGACTATCTATACAACTTCCAATTTATATACAATATTTGGGTTCAATAAAAATAATTGTCGGTACCCATATCCATTAGTAACATTCTTTTAGTGTAAACCAATCAAATATAATGTAATATATGGGCTTTACAAACCCATTTACGATAATAGATAATCTAAACTTAATACATGATATAAAACTATTTTCTCAACAAAAATGTTTATTCTCTTTTTATAAAACTTAATACATCAGATCCAACTTAGTGAAAAATCGAAAAACATCAAATCTATTAGTAAAAACTATAAAACCGAACGTAATGGTCTTATATAATAAAAAGAACTAACATATTTCGAGATACATAGAGACAAAAAACCACAAAACAAAACAGAGTAAAAAGAACTATCATATATTGTCAAAAACCTCCTTGTAGACGACATTCAATGTTTTGCTTTGTGGTTTGTTGTCTTTATCGGTGATCAATATCTTCAAACCTTCCCTGGATGTAACCCTCGACACAGCGACATAGAGTTGCCCATGAGTAAATACCGGCCTTGGAAGATACAAACCAACCTTTTCGAGTGTCTGTCCTTGGCTTTTGTTTATAGTCATTGCAAAAGCTAATGTGATAGGAAACTGCTTGCGTCTCATCTGAAAGGAAGTTTCAAGAGAGGAATATCCTAGGAATCAGTACTTTCTCACCAACCTTGCTACCTGTTATTATCTGAGCCTGGGGAACATAATTAGCCATCTTAGTAATGATGAGTCTTGTGCCATTACACAACCCATTCTTAGGGTCGATATTTCTTAGAAGCATTACAGGAGTACCCTCTCTCAACTTCAGGACATGATTAGGGAAACCAGACATCTTGATACTATTTAAAAACTCCTCGGTATAAATCATATTGTTGGAACCACCTTTATTCTTACTGGCTACACTCTCCGAGGGTACTTCAGATGCATCATTGTAATTGACAACTTCTTCAGCCGTATCAATGCTATCACAACTAAGATAGGTCCTTTCAACACCTGTTATATACAAAACAATCGTTGTATTATATAAAATAAACATACCCGACAACTTTGAAAGCATGTAATCATTTATCGTATCTACATTATCGTTTCTTGGACTCAGTATGGCACGATTTTGGAAAAACTTAGGATCAGTCTCTTTCGAAAATGAACTCCCATAAATTTCTTTGACGATCGTTTTTATAGGATCTTTACAGTCTTTAATCAACATATCATCAGGAATATCAATCACGGCTTCACCACTTCCATCATCATTTATCATTCCATTACCAATGTCTAAGATCCACTTTGTAAAGGCAGCTCGTTCAAGCATCGCACGGCTATTATCTCCAGCTATAAGTCGCATGTTCTGTGTAAGTCTCAACACTTTACATTTGTACCACAGAGGTGACGAATTCAAAGTGGCCATAAGTATCTCTGTCTTCTCGGAATTTGGAATCACTGGTAATATTTGCCTGAAATCCCCTCCTAAAACAATGACCTTGTCACCAAAGGGCTTATCAACTTCTAATATGTCACGCATCGTTCTATCTAGAGTCTCGAAACAGTCTTTACTCATCATCAACGCCTCATCCCATATAATGAGTTTAGCAATCCTTATCAGGTCGGCAAGATTCGACTCCTTCTTGATTGAACAGAAGGTAAACTTATTAACCACGATAGGGATTTCAAATCTTGAATGCGCAGTTCGGCCTCCTTCTAATAGCAACGCATCAATCCCGCTCGATGCAACCTTAAGAACAACATCACCTTGGGAACGTAGAGCAGATCCTAATAGACTCCACAAATAAGTTTTACCAGTACCTCCAGAACCATAAACATAGAACATACCTCCTTTGTTCTTATTTACTGCTTCTAGGATCTCATCATAAACACTTCTCTGTTCGCTGGTTACAGTGGCTAACATCCGCTCGTTTCTAAATCTAAGAGTTTCACGATTGTAATTCCTCTCATCCCGAATAAGAGGATTATCACGTGACTCCAGAGTAATATCTTCAGGAAACGGCATAGGTGTGAATTCTTTTAAAGATCTCCCACTTACACGTAAAAGAAGTTCTATTTCGACCAGAGTAAAGTCTTTAACTTGCTCCTGAGATAGACTAACAGCTTCACAATTTCAAAAAAATTACAAAAGATAAATTAGCTATCAATATCTTAAAGATATATAATAACAACAACGCAAACAATAACTATACGACTTACTTTGATCCCTGGCAGCCTTTCTGTAATTATATATGATGTCATCTGATAATACCTGCCATGTAGCATCCCAAACTCTAGAAGGAATGAATATACTATGAGTAGTGAGCAGGATCACAAAAAGACAACGGAGATAATTGGCAGAAAGCCACAATCCGGCCTCATTGATGGCCTCAATATATTCTTTGTCATTATTCAATAATCCATACGCATAGCTAGCGTCTTTGAACGAAGAATGTAGAACTTTGTTGACCGTTTTTATATCGTCAAAACTACGTGGTCCTTTGACTAAATTAAGCAGAAGCCTTAAATAATACGCTTCACCTGCCCCAATGGGTACATACGTGATTCTACCAAGAGCAACTCTCCTTGATCGTGGCATCCATATCCTATTTGGTCTATTACACACAAATCTCGTATTCGCCAGTTCATACTTATTGTTGCACTCCATCCAAGCAATGAATTTTGACATACCAACTGAGACACGATTAATAACCTCGTCACCTGGATCATCCTCGTTGTATATGACCATTTGCTGGTTCGGTAAATGAAAGGATAGTTTAACTACAGAAACCGTGCGATGGTGAGTATGATTACCGAAATTCTCCACGTAGACTCTGAAGGTGCTACATACCTATATAGAAAGACATTATTAAATAATGGAAGATTGGAATTTCAAAGATATAAAATATGTGAACAAAATGTTTAAAACATACCTACAGTTGAAGTGTTTCTTAATCTCGTTTTCTTTATCATCATTCTTGATAGTTGCACAGATGTAGTCAGCACCTTTATGAATATATTTGAATAGATACTTTACTGATCGAGACTGTACACACCATTCGACGTTGATATGAGCCCTATAAAGCAGTGTGAGGCTCCTATTATAAGGAACCACAAATCCATTATCACATTCAATACCCTTTTTAACGATAACTTTCTTGTCATTACGTCGCCTGTATATAGGATATCCAACATCATCTATTTTAGTGATCGGACTGAAAGGTTTTGGAAAATACTTTGTACATTTTCCTTCAGCCATGCAAACACTATCTTTATTCAAAGCACCACATGGTCCATGCATCATGACATCTCCTACTATCTCATACAGCGCTGGATCAATATCTTTAACAGGAATCTCAGCACATATTATCTTATCAATGTCATCACCAGTTGGTAGCTTGTGACCAGCCTCTAAAAAAAGAACGATGTGTGCATGAGGTAGTCCCCGTTTTTGAAACTCAATCGTGTAGATCGCTGCAACGAATAAATTTTAGTTTTTAAAAGATTAGTTAGCATGATAATTTAGCAATGGTATGGACAATATCTTGCTAAACGAAATAAGATACTTAGTTTAATAAAACATACCGGTTTTTACGACACCTAACACATTTTCTTTAGTGAGTCTGTGCATGAGATCATCTAGTATCATCTTGAACACTCGTGTACATATATCTGGCCTATCCTCTTGCTTCAGGTTATGTCTGTTTAGGTGCCTGGTAATCTCAGGCCATTTGGGATTACACGTAAAGGTTATGAAAAGATCCGGAAAACCAAAATGCTGGCAAGTAATCATCGCATCTAGATAATGTTGCACCATATACCTTGTATCACCAATATTAGAAGAATGTATAATAATACGTTTACCCTTGTCAGAAAGATCAGTGTCACCTTCATCAACAGTTTTCTTTATCTTGTCATAATTTTCGCAACGAAGTTTAGACTGATTCATTGAAATGAAGCGTAGTCTATTAGTCTCAATCATCGTGTACGCATCCACTAAGAACTGCTGGAATAATCTTCCAGATAAAGGGATGATTGGTGACTCGCCAACCCTCTCCTTTATGCGGAAAGCAAAAAACTCTCTCATAGTAATATGCAACCTTTTCCTCCCTTGGGTATCTACAAAACCAATATCGATACCAAGTCTGAATACGTCCTCGCCATAGGGAAACAATAATGGATATTGCAAAGGCAAATACGCAGGATGTAGTTCACTAATCCTTTTGAGATTCCCAGTCTTTTTACACTCGATGATGATATCACGTGCATCTATCTCATGATCGAAATCATTAGGTATCAATGCAGCAACCTCATTAATAGCTGGTAGATTCTCAGTCCTTCCATCACTTTTCCTGTCATGCTTTAAAATTATCCTTAACCGGCTTCTATCATCGTTAGGATCAAACCTTTTTCGAACGTTTCGTAATGCATCCACATGTTTGTTATGTTTATCTAGCATATTTTGTTATTTTCTCAACAACCTTCTCTCGCAATTTATCAGTCGGTCCTATTTTCCTATAAAATTTTTAAAATAAATTCTTATGACAGTTAGAACCACATAACATTTAATAACAATACATATATGTTTTAAAATTGATCTAAATGATTAAATAATAATCATACCCATAAGCAGCTATTCGGTTAGATGTTTCATTTCCAGTATCATATATATATAGCTGTAAAAAGGCTGGTTCTTTTCCAGGAGGTGGTAGCAAATCCCCTATAGAATGGTAGTTCTCCCCACTCATCTGAAAATGTAAGGACCTTCCCGTCGTTGATTTCTTTATGTATTTTTCCTCCAAGAGAAGTGAAAGAAAATATCATATTATACGCCCGGATAAACTCACGAAAGTGATCACGCAAATCACCATCATTATAAATCAATGCTAATAGCAAATTCGGAGGGGTTTTAAGAAGTAGAAGAACGACTTTACCCTGACCACAACATATGGAGAATATAGGCTTCCCACGACGATATCGTTTACCCAACCTCTCTCCATACCACATATAAGCTTTGCAATTACCACATATATATATATAGGATCACCATCGTCGTAATAACCTGATTAGAATAATATTCATTGCTTAGTATTAATTACATGATAGTTATATATTATGTATTAAATGAAATATATTACTCCAATTAAAACCATAACTTCCATCTTTCAGACCAGGACTAACTGATTCCAATAAATCTGTTCTAGTAACAACGGTCTCGGTTGCATCTTCATCACAAGAATCAGAGGATTTAGCACGTTTTTTGGGTCTTCCTTTCTTTTTATTACCAGGCGTTGGTTTTCCACATCCTCACTTTCCGACATAGAGTCTTCATCATTATCCCTATCGGACTCAGAATCAGTAGCAATAAAGCAAGCAAACTCTTCGGAGTTGATAGAAGTAGCCAAAAGATCGTTTGTTTTTTTCACAGAAAAAATAGTAAGTGTAAAACAGGCATATCATTATTAATCTACATTGTAGTTACTAAAAAAGAAGATCAAACCAATAGCTTCTTCTCTTTTTCTCCTCTCACGCATGATATGCATTCTTCTATGTTGTGCATTACGAATTTGCTGGGGTGTTAGATCAGGAACTTCATCGATATTGTAACGAAACAAACCTCCAAGTTGGTCAATATCGGTTACACTGGTAGGAGAATATCGTGCGTTCTTAGCATTACCACCTACAAATTCCAGTTAATAATAAGCAAAATTATAACACGTGAATGTTTTAAAAATGTAATTTACTTAAAATATCACCTTTATTTGGAGCAATCGACGAAGATGAACCTTTTTTCTGAGGACGTCCAAGCTTACGTTTCATTTTTTCTGGTGAATAGCACGAAAAAGAAAAAAAAAATGTGTGATCTAAATACACAATCATTAACAAACTCTATATATATAATATTATATCGCGATAATGCAAAATATACATTTTAGCTTCTCATAATAAAATGAGATTTTGGTAATAAAAAGAATTTCGAAATAGAAAACCTCACGATAATGTTAACATTACTTATTCTTCGCGATAATATGCCTATATTCTCTCATGCACCATAATACTCCAATATCGAAAATTTACATTTTTCGTGATAATTTTACAATACTATTGAAATACTTCTACATTACAATAACGCGGACCTATAAATAATTATTTTTTATTCCAAATATGCAGAGTTAATCCTAAAAATATACCTCTGCATTACAACAAATATATTCTCCTAATATTTTTACGAAAACCGAAAAAACTATCGTTATATTTCTTAGAACTTGAATATTCTCCCAAAAAATATGGTTATTTAACATACCATCTCAATAAATTATATCACATATTTTTTCGTGGACAATTATATTATACTTCGTTACGCAGGCGTTTTGGGGATAACTATGAACATCGAAATCCATACATGAAAATAATAATTAAAAAATATTATTTTCATACACTGCGTCAAAAGTCAAATTTTATTCAAATCACATACGATATCTAACACAAACCATAAAACTTAAAAATAAAAATTGATATAAAATAATTCCAAAAACATAAGCACGGAACTCGTAACATCAGGGTCTAACGACTGGATATCAACTCTCGAAACTGATAGACCTCGAAGCATGGCGAATTTAGAATAACTTGTGTGCAATCATACGACGTAGTTGCCAAGAAACACCCTGTATTATCGAACAAACAAAAATCAAAATCATATTTATCGCATATACTGTACAACCATCTCATATCAAAAAATAAAAATACCTCGTCGAACAATTATCTTCGCAAAACGAATGATGCAAATAATGACATCTTGTTTACATCCACCCAACTCACGAAGAAAAGTTTCAGCATAATCACCTTTCAAAAAACATGATAAACGTCGATTCCTAAAGTTTCCCATCAAACAAATATCAGTCTGAGTTAAACTTAAAAATTCGTTTTTTAAATTCTATTAACATAAAATAGATTACCTTTCATTTTCAAGATTGAATCTTATTATACGCTGTCTAGAGTATCCTAAGGATCCAATTCTATCGTGAGAGTTTCCAACGTTGACAACCTTACCGATTAGATCTGTTTTTTTTTTTTAAATGAATACCAATTAATCAATATAGTAATTGAATGACAAATCAGTAATGAAAAATACACCGAATACTCACCCACACAGAAGTTAAAATCAATAGTCCCACTCATAATATCTTCGAAAACAACGAACAAAAAATAACCATTGATATCTAAAGTATAAGAGCTTGCACATGTTGTATCACTGGTAAGTTGGATCATATAAGGATGTGTACTTGGCTTAAATTCACCAGTAAGAGGCAATAGATTAAAATTTATTAGAAGAACCCAATCTCCCTCGTTACATATCCTCAAATACTTATCATAAAATTCAATCGGTGCAATTACATAAATCTTCTGTCCCTGAAAAGTAAGGAATCAAACATTTATCATTACAAAAACTAAAATATAATCATGAAATTGATGTGTTATACCTTCCAATCCTCCATTATAAAGTATAATGTGCGGTCACATTCAGGAAATCTTTTGAATTTCCGTAAGACTTTCAACTTAGTCTTCCATATATGCTTGGTAGGATCAAGTTCGGAAATTCCAAACAGATTTTGATCATATTTTTTATGTACGGCGATAGATAGGAAATAAGCCATTTAAGTTAAACGCAAACCCAGAGCCTCAAAACAATTACAACGATTACGTCCAAAGGTACCTTAAATAAACATAGTAGATACAATATTTAAACCAAAATTTTGTTTCCTATTTATACAATTTAAAATAAAAGGATATATCGAATATTTTACATTTTTGAGATACCTTAATGTTTATTTTACATTTTTAGGATAACATACTAATTTGATAGAAAATTTCATCTCTTGATGTATTCCTTTCAGATCGGGATCGCAGGGATACCTTTTCCGATTTGTATTAGGGATCTATTATATTATATTATTATAATTATAACAATTTTCCTATTTGTATTAGGAATATATCGGAGGTGAGACATTTGCATCGTTATATATAAAAACGATGTATTAGCATTACCGAGTTATATATGACGACTACTTTTTAGGTTTTATAGGCACTACATCATGTCGATCGCTGCTTGTCTTTTAGCAATGAAAAACATGAATTACACCAATGTCTCCGATATAACTCCATCAAACCAACTACACCGTATTCTTGTGAAAATACTGCATATTTTCGAGCACATCGATGAACCTGACAACACTCCAGATCCGGTGACTCTATATGTTCCGTGCATATCACTTCTCTGATATACATATTTTTGTTTTTATAGGGTGATAAAATACATGGATCAATATCAAAAGGGTTTATAGACAGTTTTACATCAGAAGTGAAGCAGGGAGATTCAATTATTCTGTATCGTTTTGCTGTAGTCCCTGTCATCGGAGACTTGAGGCCGACGTTGCACAATTATAAAATTATATGGAATTCTCAAACTTATTTTTCAAAGATCTCTTTCTATGATAACAACAACTACCTAAGTATTGTTGAATTTAGTAACATACACAACAATCTCCGAGACCCATTGTTTTTTGTTGGTATGACTTTATATAAATTAATAAATAATAACAAAAATATATGTTATTTTATATCTATAAACTTTCTCAATGACTAACTAATCTTTTTATTAGATATAATTGGACACGTCGCAGTGATTGGAACATTTAGTCACAAATCCTCCAAGAGCCAAAGAAAGTGGGGTGATGTTTACGTGGAGCTCCATAACGAATCGTAAGTTTTTAAAATAAGTTTCTCAATTGTAATCACTGTAATTATCAATTTTCACTATATTATGTGATTATTATATGCCCAACAGGGATGCTAGGTTGCAAGTGTTATTACGGAACGACTATGCACTAGATCTGATGACTGCTTTATCACGGAAAGAACACAAAATTAACATTTGTGTTATACAATTCGTCAAACTGTTCAAATTCGCATATGGTTGGGCAGCGATAACCGCATACGATTGTACCGAAATTTTATTAAACCCCAACCTACCCGAAGTCGAGAGAATGCGGAGTACAATCACAAAATCAAACGACAATGTTATATTAAGTTTTGGAATAGTTTTTTTTCGTATGTTTGTTTTTTTTATTTATTTATGTTTTCATCATTTGATTCAATAAACGATGGTACTATATCAAAACTCTGCTTATAGTAATATTATTCTTTTCGTATACCTTATTTTCTTCCATTTTTAAAATATATGTTTATTATATATATACATATTTATTTTCCTAGTAAAATATTATAATACTTTTAAATCAACAACGGTATCAATGGACTATGAACACAATTTTGCATTGAAAACAAAAAGTGACACTCTTTGTAAATCAAAAACAATACGCTAAAATGATATGTTTTGCGAAACATGTGAAGTTTATAGATATTGAATAATTTATTTATTACAATAAAAATAAACAATAACTATGTTGTTCAAGTACACAACTTATAGAAAACGAAATAAAAAATTTATATCTCCTACAGATACTGATCTTCATATCCATCATCCAAAGGGGTAAAATCAACTGAAGTTTTAAGCCTGGAACAATATGACAATATTATTCAATCATAAAAATAGATGTCAATAGAATACATATACAGGATATAACATCAAAAATGGAATTTACATACCTCATCTTTGCTATTGCCATTTCTGGAGTAGGAGGATCCACGAGAATATCAGATATGAATCTTTCCGATTCAACTATCCACTCATCTAATTACATATACATATTCAGTACGCATGTGGAAACAATAAATTTGTTAAACTTCTGATTAATTTCTGTATTGAATAGATATTAATAGTTAATATTTATGTACCTCTCCACCTATTGAAAGAGAAAATTCGCAATACAATAATATGCCTTGAAGACCTATCACGATTTGTCCAAAGTTCTTCAAATTTTATTGCCAAGTTATCCCAAGCAATACATTTCAAGGAATTTCTACCAACATAGAAGATACTTAACATATTTTAATATATCAAGAAACCCAAGTCTGACACCAGTTATTCTGAGGATAAGTTGTACTTACCCGAGATCTTCTAGTACAAAACGAATAAGTGGACGTTCTGTGGGTGTATCCGATGTATCGGACATATGAACTCCTCTTTGAAGTTTCTGAACAAAAGTGACAACCCCGAGAAGATCAACAGCAAAATTAAACAACTAAGTTAGAAAAAATTCATTTCTCAGTTAATGAGATAAACCAAGATAATAACATGCATGTAAAAAACTTACCAAGATATCGGTCTGTTTGAATCGACGCAAGCAAAATATCTATGAATACACAGAAAGAGTATATTTCTCTGGAAGACTTCGGATCGGTTTTCTCAGTGATTGTATCCTCGTTGAAACGTATATGACAATTGTTTGATGATATAATTGGATGGGGTAATCTGTCGGTAACTGCAAAATTACCAAGAAAATATTACTCTCCTTCGAGCAATGCATACTCAAATTTGTCAAGTATTCCAAATGGTATGGTACACAGGATGCGATTGTCCTACACAGTTTTAGTAAAAAAGAATCAATAAACGATTACATTCCCAAAACATGAACATGAATAATCTTTTAAAATCTCATAAACTTACAAATTCATCAGCGAGAACTAACATCCGATTAGGGCAACCAATGAGAGTAAAATCATAATAATTTCTAACTACTTGGACACAAATACGTTGCCCGCCGTTTGTCTTCTGAAGTTCAGAAACCCTATTACATGGAGAAATTCATTATTCGTTAGTTTGGAGATGAAAGATGAGAAAAATGAATGTTTTTTTTATA